AACAATAACAATACCAACAACAACCTGAGCTAAAGAGAAACTAATTTTCTCTCTTACCAAGATTATCCTGCTGGGTCACCGCCGCCCCGCGCTCCAGCAGGAGTTTCACGATGTCAAGGTGCTTCATTTTCGAGGCTAGAACCAGTGGTGTGTTCCCTGTGGATGAGACGATATTTGAGTATATTCGCTTTATTTTTTTTAATCTTATTTATTTATTTGCTTGTTTAATTAGTTTTTTTTTTCTTTGCATTCTGGTGTATGGTATGGTTGTGTTGTTGTTGTGGGATCTGTTGTAGGTTCGTTGTTAGGTTGTGGTTATGTTTGTTTGAGTTATAGGGTACTGGTGAGCAAAGGAAGGGTTGATGGTTTGTTTGGAATGTTGTGGTCAGGAATGAGGTTGTAAAATGTTGTGGAAATCAAGAGGTAGACAAGAATTCATTAAATTATTATTATTATTATTATTATCATTATTATTATTATTACAGTCTGACCCTCTCTCTCTCTCTCTCTTTATTATCCTTTTTCTTTTATTTCTCCCTTCTCATTCTCATTATCCCTTCTCCCTTCTATCTTCTCCGTCACTTCTCCCTCCCAATCTCTCATCCTTTTCTCATCCCCGTCCTTCCTCCCACCCTCCTCTTTCCTTCTCTTCCTCTCCATCCCCTCTCCCTCTCCATCCTCCTCTCTCCCTCTCTCTCCTCTCTCTCCATCCTCCTCTCTCCTCTCCATCCTCCTCTCTCCCTCTCCATCCTCCTCTCTCCTCTCCTCCTCCTCTCTCTCTCCATCCTCCTCTCTCTCTCTCCATCCTCCTCTCTCTCTCTCCCTCCCTCCTCTCCCCTCTCTCTCTCCCCTTCTCTCCTCTCCATCTCCTCCTCTCTCTCTCTCCATCCTCTCTCTCCTCTCCCCTTCCATCTCCTCTCCTCTCTCCTCTCTCCTCTCTCATCCTCCCTCTCCCTTCTCCCCTCTCTCCCTCTCTGCTTCTCTCCCTCTCCATCCTCCTCTCTCCCTCTCCATCCTCCTCTCTCCTCTCCATCCTCTCTCTCCTCTCCATCCTCCCTCTCCCTCTCCTCCCTTCTCTTCTCTCCTCCTCTCTCTCTCCCTCTCCCTCTCCATCCTCCTCTCTCTCTCTCTCCTCTCTCTCTCTCCTCTCCCCTCTCGCTTCTCTCCCCCTCTCTTCCTCTCCATCCCCTTCTCTCCCTCTCCCTTTCTCCATCCTCCTCTCTCGCTCTCTGCTTCTCTCCCTCCCCCTCTCTCCCTCTCCCCATTCTCTCCCTCTCCCATCCCCTCTCTCCCTCTCCCCTCCATCTCCTCTCTCCCTCTCTCTTCTCTCTCCCTCTCCCTCTCCATCTCCAAATACACACCATGGTTATTTGTGATGTTGATTCTCGCACCGGTGTTCAACAGGTCCTCAATAATAACATGGTTTCCGTTGAAGGCAGCCCAGGCCAGAGCAGAATTTCCTGGTATGAAGAGAAGAAGAAGAAAAAAAAATTATTTCCTGGTATGGAGAGAAGAAGAAGAAAGAGATTATTTTCTGGTATGGAGAGAAGAAGAAGAAAAAGATTATTTCCTGGTATGGAGAGAAGAAGAAAAGAGATTATTTTCTGGTATGGAGAGAAGAAGAAAAAAATTATTTTCTGGTATGGAGAAAAGAAGAAAATGATAATTTACTGGTATGGAGAGGAGAAGAAAATGATGATTTCCTGGTATAGAGAGGAGAAAATGATAATTCATTGGTATGGAAAGAAGAAGAAAATCATAATTTCCTGGTATGGAGAGAAGAAGAAAAAGATTATTTCCTGGTATGGAGAGGAGAAGAAAATGATAATTTCCTGGTATAGAGAGGAGAAAATCATAATTCATTGGTATGGAAAGAAGAAGAAAATTATAATTTCCTGGTATGGAGAGAAGAAGAAAAAGATTATTTCCTGGTTTGGAGAAAAGAAGAAAATTATAATTTCCTGGTATAGAGAGGAAAAAATCCTAATTCATTGGTATGGAAAGAAGAAGAAGAAAATTATAATTTCCTGGTATGGAGAGAAGAAGAAGAAAAATATTATTTTCTGGTATGGAGAGAAAGAGAAATATATAATTCATTGGTATGGAGAGGAGAAAATGATAATTACGTAAATAAACAAAATGAATAATTGTTTGGTCGGTCCATCAGTTAAGAGGATTTAAACGATGAAAGACGATAATTTGAGGCATAAACAGATGAATAAATTAATTAAATAAGACAAAGGATTAAAGGACAAACAAAGGAATTTGTTAATTTATAGTGATGTTGTAAAAAAGTGATAATTATCAAATTGAAATTAAAAATTATCATAGTTTGTTTCATTCCAGTTATAACGATGATATCAGCTGTGGAGATAAAGAATTACCATTTCAACTATGATAACTGATAATAATAAATAGCTATCGACATCTATGATAATAACTTCTAATAACTATAATACACATTTGATAATAAGTAATGATAATAATAACTATAACCCTAGGCAATGATAAAAATAATAACTTTAATCACAATGACAATAACAATAACTATAATTATAAGTAATGATAAGAAAATCTATAACAATAACCCAAGATAACAAAACCCAAAAAATGAAAAGCAATAATAATACCCACAGTAAAAAAAAGAAAGGAAGAAGAAGAAGAAGAAGAAGAAGAAGAAAGAAGAAGAAGAAGAAGAAGAAGAAAAGAAGAAAAAATAAATGAAAAAAAGAAAAACATGAAAAAAGAAAAAAAGAAGAAAAAGACGATAACCCCACAACACAGCGATAACACAAAGATAAGAGCCCTCGCCAAGAAAGGGCCTGTCTCAGCGTCATTATTCTGGTGGTCGACGTCGACTCCCTGGGCGAGCAGGACCTCCACCACTCGAGGGCGGCTTCCCTGGGCTGCCTGCACGAGGGGCGTGTTGCCTGCGGGGGGGATGACGTCACAGTGAGTCTTGGTTGATGACAATGACAATGACAATAGCAATGACAACAATAATGACAGTAGCAATAACAATAACAATGACAGCAATAACAACAATAACAATGACAGCAATAACAATAACGACAGTAACATAATAACAATAACGACAGTAACAATAACAATAACGACAGTAACAATAACAACAACAACAATAACGACAATAACAATAACAATAACGACAATAACAACAACAACAATAACGACAATAACAATAACAACAACAATAACGACAATAACAATAACAACAACAACAATAACAATAACAACAACAATATAGAAGTACAGAAGATTTAGTGATAATAACTTACTCAATTTGGAAACAAGAAACATATCATAGTACTTTCTATAACGAAAATCAGAGAAGAAAAATGTCAATTCTATTACATGGAGAAGGTTCACAATTTCATAAGGACAATGATGATAATGATAATAGCAACAAAAACACCAAAAACAAAAACATGATAACATCTACATCAACAAAAACATCTACAACAGCAACATTCACAACAAAATTCACTACGAAATATTCACAACAATGCAACTTTCACAACAAAACAACATTCACAACATCATTAACAACAAAAACGGCAACGAAAACCTCACCGCCTCCCTCACCTTCATCACAACCACCAACACAATAACCACAACACCACAACCACCAACAACAGCACAGCCATCACCACCTCCATTACAACCACCACCAACACCACAACCTCCATCACAACCACCAATAACACCACAACCACCACCTCCATCACAACCAACAACCACCACACAAACACACAACCACAACACCACAACCACCACCACCACAACCTTTATCAAAACCACACCACAACACCACAACCACAATCTTTATCACAACCACCAAAACCACAACCAAAACCTCCAACACACCTCCACCCCCCCTCCATCACAACCACCAACACAATAACCACAACAACCACAACCACCAACAACAGCACAGCCATCACCACCTCCATAACAACCACCACCAACACCACAACCTCCATCACAACCACCAACAACACCACAACCACCACCTCCATCACAACCAACACCACCATCACAAACACCACAACCACCACCACCACAACCTTTATCAAAACCACCACAACAACACCACAACCACAACCTTTATCACAACCACCAACACCACAACCAAAACCTCCACCAACACCACAACCTCCATCACAACCACCAACAACACAACCACAACCACCACCAACAACACCACAACCACCAACACCATCTCCATCACAACCAACAACACCACCACAACCAATAACAACACCATAACCAACACCACCTCCATCACAACCACCAACAACACCACAACCACCACCTCCACCAACAACACCACAACCACCACCTCCACCACCAACACCACAACCACCACCTCCACCACCACCACAACCACCACCTCCACCACCAACCAACCACCACCAACACCACAACCACAACCACAACACCACAACCACCACCACCTCCATCACAACCACCAACACCACCTCCATCACAACCACAACCACCAGCATCATCACAACCACCACTAACAACACCACAACCACCACCACCACAACCACCAACACCACCTCCATCACAACCACCAACACCACCTCCACCACCAACAACACAACCACCACCACCACCACTGCAACCACCAACAACACCACAACCACCAACAACCACAACCACAACCACCTCCACCACCAACACCACAACCACCTCCACCAACAACACTGCAGCCACCACCTCCACCACAACCACCAACAACACACAACCTCCACCACCACCACAACCACCACTAACAACCACCTGCACCACCAACAACACCACAGCCACCACCACCTCCACCAACACCACAGCCATCACCACCTCCATCACAACCACAACCACCACCAAAGACAGCTTACCCGCCAGATCAGTGACATTGGGCGCGGCTCCTGCCTTCAGTAAATCTTGGACCATGAAGACGTTCCCTAAGAAGGCGGCCCAGTCGAGAGCCGTGTCTCCTGGTGGGGGAAGAAAGGATGTAGATAGATAGATGATAGATAGAGAGGGAGAGGGAGGTAGGGGGGAGGGAGAGGGAGGTAGGGGAGGGAGAGGGAAGAGAGGAGGAGAGAGAGAGGGAAGGAGGGAGGGAGAGTGAGAGGGAAAGGAAGAGATAGATAGGTAGATATATAGATAGATAGAGATAGATAAATTGATGGATGAAAGATAGCTAGATCGAGAGATGGATGAAGGATAAATAGATAGATGGAGAGATAGAAAGATAGATAGATCGAAGACAGACAGATAGATAGAACTATATGTGTAAAAAATAAGCACCATCATCATTCTAAGAACAAAGAATAACGTATTTTGAGTTTGATTTTGAAAGACTAAGAAATAATAATTGTCGAGATAAATGGTCAAAAACGAGAATAGAAAATAAAGCAAATCACAAAAAATGTTAAAAAAGAAAAGAAAAGAAAGAGAGAAAAACAAATCAGAATAGAAAGAATATTGAAACCTCTACGTTTCGAGTCAAACTGAATTCCTCCTCAAGTAGGCATTCTTAATCCCTCCTGTAGTATGGATTTCACTTTCATCAGCATCAGCCAGTATTCACTTTCATTACCATCAATCACTCATTTTCATTTTCCACAGGACAGTTGTTTTCAAGTCCACAGACTGTCATTTTTATCTTCCACATAAAACAGTTGCAGTTCCACATCTAATCATTTTAAATCTCGTATCACATCGGCACCACTTTCACATCCAACCGTTTTTACCTCAACATCAAGTCACTTCCACCTTCACATCCAATCATTTCACTTCCCACATAAAACATTTCTCACCTCCACATCAAGTCACTTTCACACCTCCACAGTCCACAACATCCAGGTCACTCACATCCCACAAAAAAACATTTTCTCACCTTCCACATCAAGTCCACTTCCCTCACATCCTCATTTCATACTCCACATAAAAGATCTTCAACTCCACAATCCAATTTCATTTCATTATCCCAAATAAACCACTTTCCACCTCCACATCAAATCACTTTCGCACCTCCACATTCCAGTCCACTTCACATCCCATATCAACAATTTCCACCTTCACATCAAGTCACTTCACACCTCCACATCCATCCACATCCAGTCACTTCATATCCCACATAAAATATCTCACCTCCACATCCAGTCCCTTTCATATCCACATAAAACAATTCTTCAACCTCCACATCAAGTCACCTCACACCTCCAAATCCAGTCCCTTCATATTCCACATAAACCATTTCTCACCTCCACATCAAGTCACTTCGCAACTCCACATCCAGTCACTTCCACAACTCCACATAAAAAAAACCATTTTCTCACCCTTCACATCAAGTCACGTCCACACCTCCACATTCCACCCACATCCATTTCACTCATATTCACATTAAACCATTTTCCCTACCTCCAACATCAAGTTACTTTGCAAACTCCCACATCCAGTCACTTTCACGATCCCACCTAAACCACTTTCTCCACCTCCTCATCCACCACATCCAGTCACTTCAACATCCCACCCTAAAACACTTTCCACCTCCACACCCCATCCCCACATCAGTCACTTCACATCCCACCTAAACCACTTTCCACCTCCACATCCACCCACATCCAGTCACTTCACATCCCACCTAAACCACTTTTCAAAACCTCTTTACATCCAAACCCTCATCCAGTCACTTCACATCCCACACTAAACAATTTTCCACCTCCACATCCACCCACAACCAGTCACTTCACATCCCACCTAAACCACTTTCCACCTCCACATCCACCCACATCCAGTCACTTCACATCCCACCGAACCCACTTTCTCACCTCCACATCATTCCACATCCAGTCACTTCACATCGCACCTAAACCCCTTTTCTCAACCTCCACATCCCACCCACATTTCCAGTGACTTCACAATCCCACCTAAAACACCACTTTCTCACTCTCCTCATCCACCCTTCATCCAGTCACTTCACATCCCACCTAAACCACTTTCCACCTCCACATCCACCAACATCCCAGTCACTTCACATCCACATCTTCTAAAACCACTTTCCACCTCCCACATCCACCCACATCCAGTCCACGTTCACATCCCACCTAAACCACTTTCTCACCTCCACATCCACCCTCATTCCCACACTTCACATCCACCTTAAACCACTTTCCACCTCCACTCCTCCCACATCAACATCCCACCTAAACCACTTTCCACCTCCACATCCACCCACATCCAGTCACTTCACATCCCACCTAAACCACTTTCTCACTCCACATTCCACCCACATCCCAGGGTCACTTCAAAACATTCCCATCCTAAAACACTTTCCACCTCCACATCCACCAACATCCAGTCACTTCACCATTTCCCACCTAAACCACTTTCTCACCTCCACATCCACCCTCATCCAGTCACTTCACATCCCACCTAAACCACTTTCCACCTCCACATCCTCCCACATCCGGTCACTTCACATCCCACCTAAACCACTTTCCACCTCCACATCCACCCACATCCAGTCACTTCACATCCCACCTTTCCACCTCCACCACTTCACTTCACATCCCACCTAAACCACTTTCTCACCTCCACATCCACCTACATCCAGTCACTTCACATCCTACCTAAACCACTTTACACCTCCACATCCACCTACATCCGGTCACTTCATATCCCACCTAAACCACTTTCTCACCTCCACATCCACCCACATCCAGTTACTTCACATCCCACCTAAACCACTTTCCACCTCCACATCCACCCACATCCAGTCACTTCACATCCCACCTAAACCACTTTCCACCTCCACATCCACCCACATCCAGTCACTTCACATCCCACCTAAACCACTTTCTCACCTCCACATCCACCCACATCCAGTCACTTCACATCCCACCTAAACACTTTCCACCTCCACATCCACCCCTCATCCAGTCACTTCACATCCCACCTAAACCACTTTCCACTCCACATCCACCACATCCAGTCACTTCACATCCCACCTAAACCACTTTCCACCTCCACATCCATCCACATCCAGTCACTTCACATCCCACCTAACCACTTTCCACCTCCACATCCAGTCACTTCACATCCCACCTAAACCACTTTCTCACCTCCACATCCATCCACATCCAGTCACTTCACATCCCACCTAAACCACTTCCACCTCCACATCCACCCACATCCAGTCACTTCACATCCCACCTAAAACCACTTTCTCACCTCCACATCCACCCACATCCAGTCACTTCACATCCACCTAAAACCACTTTCCACCTCCACATCCACCCACATCCAGTCACTTCACATCCCTAAACCACTTTCCACCTCCACATCCACCACATCCAGTCACTTCACATCCCACCTAAACACCTCCATCCACCCACATCCAGTCACTTCACATCCCACCTAAACCACTTTCCACCTCCACATCCACCCACATCCAGTCACTTCACATCCCACCTAAACCACTTTCTCACCTCCACATCCACCACATCCAGTCACTTCACATCCCACCTAACCCACTTTTCCACCTCCACATCCACCCTCATCCAGTCACTTCACATCCCACCTAAACCACTTTCTCACCTCCACATCCACCACATCCAGTCACTTCACATCCCACCTAAACCACTTTCCACCTCCACATCCACCCTCATCCAGTCACTTCACATCCCACCTAAACCACTTTCACCTCCACATCCACCCACATCCAGTCACTTCACATCCCACCTAAACCACTTTCCACCTCCAATCCATCCAGTCACTTCACATCCACCTAACCACTTTCACCTCCACATCCACCCACATCCAGTCACTTCACATCCCACCTAAACCACTTTCCACCTCCACATCCAGTCACTTCACATCCCACCTAAACCACTTTCCACCTCCACATCCACCCACATCCAGTCACTTCACATCCCACCTAAACCACTTCCACCTCCACATCCACCCACATCCAGTCACTTCACATCCCACCTAAACCACATCCACTCCGCCACACAGGTCAGTCACACTCAAACAGCCACATCCATCCACCACATCCAGTCACTTCACATCCCAGTCCCACCTCCAACCACCCCACCTAAACACTTTCCACATCACCTCCTCATTCACATCCAGTTTCCAGTCACTTTCACATCCCACCTAAACCACTTTCCACCTCCACACAACATCCACACTCACATCCACTTTTCCACCTCCACATCCACCCACATCCAGTCACTTCACATCCCACCTTTCTCACCTCCACATCCACATTCACACATCCCACCTAAACCACTTTCCACCTCCACATCCACCCATCCAGTCACTTCACATCCCACCTAAACCACTTTCTCACCTCCACATCCACCACATCCAGTCACTTCACATCCCACCTAAACCACTTTCCACCTCCACATCCACCCACATCAGTCACTTCACATCCCACCTAAACCACTTTCCACCTCCACATCCACCCACATCCAGTCACTTCACATCCCACCTAAACCACTTTCCACCTCCACATCCACCCACATCAGTCACTTCACATCCCACCTAAACCACTTTCCACCTCCACATCCACCCACATCCAGTCACTTCACATCCCACCAAACCACTTTCACCTCCACATCCACCACATCCAGTCACTTCACATCCCACCTAAACCACTTTCCACCTCCACATCCAGTCACTTCACATCCCACCTAAACCACTTTCCACCTCCACATCCCACCCACATCCAGTCACTTCACATCCCACCTAAACCACTTTCTCACCTCCACATCCACCCACATCCAGTCACTTCACATCCCACCTAAACCACTTTCCACCTCCACATCCACCTCCAGTCACTTCACATCCCACCTAAACCACTTTCCACCTCCACATCCACCACATCCAGTCACTTCACATCCCACCTAAACCACTTTCCACCTCCACATCCACCCACATCCAGTCACTTCACATCCCACCTAAACCACTTTCCACC